TCTCTGCCCCTCCCCTGCTCATGCTCTGTCTCTCAAACATAAATAAACTTAAAAAAATTTTTTTTAATAATTTTATTTGTTTTTTGCAATCTCAGTTTATATCTGTGTCTATATTTATGCTTATGGAAGATTTGCACGGACTTAATAGATACACCTTCCTAATTCTGCTGTACTTAGATTGATCCTTATGTGAATTTTCATTCATGCATGTAGAGTTATGAGGGTAAGTTGATATCATAAAGTAAGCTATGCAGATGGAAGTCTGGGATAAATTTTGCCAATATTATTCTCAAGGTATACAGACAATAAAAAAAAATAACTTGCAATATCCTAACAATAGAAACAATTATGTATTATTATATGTATGTATGTAATTATTCTCTTTTTTTTTTCTTTTTTGCATCATGTCTTATGTCCCATCTAACTCATCCATCAAATATGTAAGCAGTTACTCAAATTAGAGACAGAATTGAAGAAATAAGTATTTCCCTCCTCTGACTCTGGGAGCCTCCATATCAACCTAAGTGGTTAACTTTTCCCACCCTTTTTCTTTCTTGAAGGAACTAACATTTATTTCATACCTAGTAATCCCCAGGAATTGTATTAGATGCTTTAAATTACATTTACCATTCAGTTTGTATAGCAATCCCTTTAGTAGGGTCCATCATCCCCATTTTACAAAGGGAGGAAATTGAGGATAATACAGGATAGACAATTTTCCCCAAGACTCATAAGCATTAAATGGCAGAATTGAGAATTGAATTCATTTAGCAATAATGCTTTTCATTAGTATTCTACCTCATAGTTCCTATTTTAAGTTTTCTAGCCCTTTCAATAGCACGACATGTTTTCTCCTTCTTTTCTTTTCCTTAAGGATTCTATTAAAAATAAGAATGATTTAATTTAAAGAATTGCTGTGGTTGCTACATTTTATAAATGTTAAGTATTTTTAAATTGTCCAGTGCCCACAAATATTCTTTAATGTTTCTTTGTCTTCAAAGAGTCTCTTAATTTATAGTCTCAAGTTTAACCTTGGAAGAAACTTTACCGTTCAATGGAGTCAAAAATTCTCAGAAAATGAAAGGTTTACTTGTTATCCAGATGCAGACATTGCAACTAGAGAAAAGTGTGAAGAACGTGGCTGTTTATGGGAAACGGTACTAAGAATTTTAATTATGATTCATAACATGACTTTTACATAAACATCTCAATGTAAACACTATGTATTATAATCTTAATTCTACAGCATATGAACTAAATTCATCTAGAGAGGCATTTGGAATTTGAAATTAGGACTTCTTATAGGCAATTTATTTTAATCTTAATTCTCCAAAGACATACTGTAGTAAATACGAGACTAAATGAATGTGTAAGTTGCTTTCCAGGCACTTTGGATAGTGTGCCTTGCTTTACTTAATAAAGTATGCCCATTTTACTTAATAAAATAGTACTCTATTTCTTGAACTCTTCTTAAGTGTTGGCTGTGGCTGACCAGCTTAATTGATTAAGATATTATGCCAGTAGGAGACAGGCTTTCAAAAGCATTGTCTCAAGTTATTAAAACTTCTCAAATTATTGGGTTGGTTGTAGCAGTTCCACTAGGGGTAATTTCTAGCCAGTTGTTTTGGTCTTCCATTCAACAGAATGATGATTTGGTTAAACAAGACATGATTTATTTGTCTTTTACAAAAAAAGAGTCCCAGTCCTAATATACTGGCCTCCCAAGGTCATCAATGTCTCATATTTATCATTTATTTTTTTATCCTCAAGACTGTATTACGTCTTCTGCCATCATGTATGCATTCCAGGGCCAAAGGAGGGAGGGCTAAGGATATCTTATTTTAATCAGCTTATTCCCTTTTCTTTTAAGAGGGTCTGGGGGGTCATATACAATTTCCTCAAAAGAGATAGAGATGCAGATGGGCATGTTGCTTCTCCCAGATGTATAATAATATAATTAATAAGAAAGATGGGAGAATGGACTATTGTAAGGTAACTAGCCCATCATGCCACAATTTACCATTGTTTTTCTTAGGTCCTAGCTTCCACCCTTATATAACAGTAGTAGCTTTGATCTTTGGCCACAGTCCCTATTCAAATACTGGTCAGTATGTAATTGACCTGTACAAGGACCAGTCATGAAATATGGAATGATACAGTTTCATTATAAGTAAAAGAAAAAAACCTTTAAGAACAGACCTTTCTGAGGATTGTTGTAGAGCCATCTTACACACAAAAGACAATAGTCAATATGAAGATTGAGAACAAGCATGGAATAAAAATTTATGAGTAATATACTTAATTTTTGCAAAGATCACAGAATCATTTTATTTTCTGTTGAAAAGCTATGACATTTGATCCTTTTCCTCTACTGGGTCTATCTTTAGAGTCAAAATATAAATTATTCTATTTATCATTTAGTATATAGTATTTATTTGGGTCGCATAATAGTTATTTTCTGCTGTGATTACAATTTAATTTTAGCATTAAATAATAAAATTTACAAATTATACATCATGTGATTAAACATATCTACCTTATTGTTTTGAAGAGTCTAATATTATAATGCTTATGATTTCTGGCAATTAACCTGTATTGTGTTTTTAGCCTACCTTTAGATCCCAAGCACCTAGCTGTTACTTTCCTAGACAACACAACCCTTATTTAGTCAGTACAACTCAATATTCATCAATGGGTATAACAGCTGACCTCCAGCTGAATACTGCAAGTGCTCGAATAAAGCTACCTTCTGAACCCATCCCAACACTTCGTGTGGAAGTGAAATATCACAAAAATGATATGCTGCAATTTAAGGTATGTTTGATATAAACTATCCCAATGCAAGACTCATCTCTTAAGACAAGATATTCTGAATAGATTAGATACTTGCATTTTTAATGTAATATTAAGGACTATTAATTGAGTTGTAGACGTTTTGATTTAAAAAAAACAATTTCTTTTCCAATACAGCTTCTTATTTTTCCAAATTTGTGAATAATTAAACAAGTAGTGGTGATTTAAAAATTTCAAATTCTTGCTAAATACATATGTTACTTAGAATCAGATTATGACGATAGTCCCATTGGGATAAATAAAACAGAAAAAAAGAAACAAAATGGGATATTTACTATTTCCACTATTTTTAAACAGTGACCTGAATTTTCTGACCAATACAGTAAGACATTTAAAAAAAAGTCTTTCAACAGGTACACTTAGCAGTTTTTTTTTTTTTTTTAATTGAAGTACAGCTGACACACTATGTTACATTTGTTTGAGGTGTATAAGATAGTGATTTGACAAATGCATACATTATGCTATGTTCACCATAAGTATAGCTACCATCTGTCACCATAGAACTTTATTACAGTACCATTGACTATGTTCCCTATGCTGCGCCTTTCATCCCTGTGATGTATTCATTCCGTAACTGGAAGCCTATATCTCCCACTCCTCTTCACCCACTTGCCCATGTCCCCACCCCTTCCCCTCTGTCAACTATCGGTTTGTTCTCATTAATTTTTGCTTAAGAGCTCCACAGGAATCCATTAAGAAAACTATTAAAAATGACAAGAAAATCAAAAAGACTAGATGTAAAATAATATCTCCAAAAAATGTTTTGGTGTATTCTGTTATTCACCATTTAGAAATTGAAATAAAGGCAAGTCCCAATGGCAAAATCAAATGAGAAAAACAATTAAAAAAAACACAAAGAATATATCAAAAATCATAGGAGTAAATTGACTTTATAAGAAAAAAATGTAAAAAGTATTGAGAGATTAAATAAATACATTAAAAAATAAAAAATCCTAATTAAGACTATTTTTTAAATTAATTTTCTTTAAGTTCATCTGGAAAAATAAACATATAATAATGGCAATGGTTAAAACTCAAAAAAAGAGGAGATGATGTAGAATTTGCAGAATTAAAACAGTATGAATTCGGAGTACCTGGGTGGCTCAGTTGGTTAAGTTTCTGACTCTTGATTTCATCTCAGGTCATGATCTCATGGTTTGTGATTTCAAACCCCATATTGGGCTCTGCGCTGACAGCGTGGAGCCTGCTTGGGATTCTGTCTTCCTCTCTCTCTGCCCCACCCCTGCTTGCTCTCTATTTTTCTTTCAAACTTTAAAAAAATAAATGAATGAAATAAAAAATAAATGATTTTACTTTAACATAAAATAATATTAGAGTACACATTTTTGGTTAGAATATTAATTAGTACACTAATTCTGGAAAACAGATATCAAAGACCTTACAAATTTTAGTATAGTCTGTCTGACCTAACATTATAACTTCTAAGAAATCTACTGAGGAAATAAAGACATGAGTAAACAAATTACCATTACCATTCATTGTCCAATCAAACATGTGACCAAAAACATTGAAACAAATTCTGTGTCTAACCATGAAGTGGTAAATAATTTTGTGTAACCATATAAGAAAATATTTAACTCTAAACATTTGTTTTTGAATATTTCTCATAGTATGAAAAATGAATTATAAAACATTAAAAAGTGATAAAATGCAATTCATAATTTGATCCCATTACATATATATGTGTGTATGTAGATTTCTGTATAGATATATGGGCCATGGATGCAGAATTAAGAATTATATAAATAAGAATTCTAATATCTTGTTTCAGCAATTATTTAAGTCATATAATGATTATTTGCATGGTATTTCAGCAATATGAGCAAAACATTTATTTTCATTATTTCTCTGCAATAGATTTATGATCCCCAAAATAAGAGATATGAAGTTCCAGTACCTTTAAACATTCCAGCCATGCCAACAAGTACTTATGAAAATAGACTTTATGATGTTGAAATCAAGGAAAATCCTTTTGGCATCCAGATTCGAAGGAGAAGCACAGGAAGAGTTATGTAAGTGATTGAATTATTTGACATGAGGAATATTTTGATTGTAGAATGGAGGGGGTAAGATTATTTTCACTGTGCTAGAGTATCATCACATTAAAAAATAGTTTCAGTTCTATTAAGTAACTTGGCCTGTTTCAATATTAAAAAACCTTTTTTTTAATGTTTATTTGGGGAAGGGGCAGAGAGAGAAAGGGAGACAGAGGATCCGAAGCGGGCTGCCACTGACAGCAGGGAGCCTGATGCTGGGCTCAGACTCGTGAACCATGAGATCATGACTTGAGCTGAAGTCAAAGTTGGATGCATAAACCACTGAGTCACCCAGGCACCTGTTTTAACATTTTAAAACTAAATAATTATCACACTCGTGGGACTATCATTAAGATTTGGAAAATTTCATCTACATTTTGCATATGACTGATTTAATTATTATCACACTCATTCAACTAATCAGGTTGAAAACCAAAACCAAAGCTCCTCTTGAAAAGTATGAATGTTGTAAAATAAGTTAGGTGGAAATGTGTTTTGTAAATATTTATTTAGAAATTAATTGAAATTGAGGTTTATTAGTTCTGGAATCTGATAGAGTTAATACTATCTCTGCCAGGTATTGATGAAAAGAAATTATGATACATACATCTCTCTATATTTTATGAATAAATTATTTATGAATGAATAATTATATGAATTAACAAGTTTATAAAAACATTTTACTTTAGTAAAAATAAGAGGTTTGTAGACAAACCATAGTATACTAAAAGACAGTTTATGTATTTTAGCTTGCCTGTCATTTTTTAGAAGATGTTGTCAAGAATTGTCAGGCTGGATACAGATAATGAAGAAAAGTATGTCTGTACTGTTTTAAAAATTCTGTTGGTATGATAGTATTTTTGTTTCAAAGGATAAGTGAAGTCATTTTGTAAAAAAGTTCTTGTACAATGGCATTATTTATTTTTATTTAGGAAACATTATTTTTAGTAAATACTTTTCCAAAATCATTAATATAGAAATTTAAATATGTCTCAAATTCTTTATAATTTTTATGTTTCTTTTTCCTGCCAACTTTTATCTCTTTTCTTCCACCTGTATGCTTTTACAAATGACTAGAAAGATGATACATTCTCTTTGATAGATTTCTTTTTAAACAATAATTTTTATAAATACAAAATGAAATTTTGTATCGTATTTGTATTTTGTATTTGTATTTTGGAGAAATTACAGAGAGCTTGGAATTAAAATACCCATCATGCCTTAATAGTTTATTTTGATTTTGATTTCATTTTATTCTATATGTAGCAAAAGTTTACAGAGGACTTTCAGTTTCTAGGACATATATTACTTCTGGGTCATATATTATTTATAACTTTATATTAATTTTATTTTAAAAGAATTTATATCTAAAGATAAATGTATAATCATATTTTTCATATAGTTTATTTTATTAATAATGCTGAAAAAATGAAACCTATGTTAGATATTTTTTAACCTAGTCAAAAGATAAATGTATTGCGATAATTATTTTCATATTTGAGTACAGTATTTGAGTACAATAAGGCATATAGAGAAAAATATTATTTGTTTTCATATCACATAAGAGTTACCATTATTATTTTTGATACTACTTTCGATATATTTATTGGATTTGAATTGTTTTCTTTTCAGTTGGGATTCTCACCTGCCTGGATTTGCTTTTAATAACCAGTTTATTCAAATATCTACTCGCCTGCCATCAGAATATATATATGGTTTTGGGGAAGTGGAACACAGAGCATTTAAGAGAGACCTGAACTGGCATACTTGGGGAATGTTCACAAGAGACCAACCCCCTGGTGTAGGTACCAGTATTTGACTACTCCATGAAGCAACTAAGACCATGGTTAGGACAGCCACTTCTTTGTAGGCCTAGACTCAGCATTAAAGTAATAACAAGGGGGCTGGAGATCTCTAGACCTGCTATAGAGATTTAAAATAAACAAACAAACAAACAAGCCACAATAAAGTACAGGTGAAAGCACAAGATTGGATAGATACCATCATTGATTACAGTGAAAAGGGAGGTTGTGACCCCATTCTTTACCTTCTTAATTCTATAGAAAGAATATTCAAACTCAGAATCCCCTGCCAGGTCTACTTTTACTCTAGCTTTTAGAAATAACTGACTAGGGTTCTCCTAGAATTTATTTATTTATTTATTTTTTTACTGCTTAGATATTGATTTAATGGTAACTTTTTCCTTAATGATACCCAGCTATAGTTGTGTATGTTAGGCGGCCATACTGCTAGTTACATCTTTAGAAAATGCTTTTTTATGCTCATGTCACTTTTTACTACGTTTTGTCTTATTAATGGAATACATTTCATGAATATTTCATGCATTGCACAATTAATATTAACTATAATTATTCTAAGCATATCATAAAAAACAATTTTAATAAAAATACTAGCTCATTTCTATTTTTCACGTATGATGTGAATCTAAAGGATGTATTCCACATGAGATTATAAATGTGTATACTATTGCAACTACTTTTATTGTTAGGTGCTCAAGCAATTTTTATTTGTATCATAATAGTTCATGCCTAAGTTATGAAGGCTGTTTTTAATTTATATCGATTTGAAAGAATATGTTTTACAAAATATATTTCTTTAAAAACTATTCAACATTAGTATTGACATTAATAAGTTAATATAATCTTGATTCTCAATATATGAATTTACTTTCACATGCTAATTAATTAGTGGGATACATATGGGTCAAAGATGTCAGTTTGAATAGGGATCATCAACTTAAAAGTTTTGTGAGTTTTGATAAGTCATTTTATAACCCTGAGTATAGATTTTTTACTCAGGAAAGACCTAGGTAAAAATGAAAGTAAATGTTGCATACACTATTACATAAACGAGATATTATCATTTAAAATACTATCATATAATATTATATAAACTTAGATATCTTGTGATCATTTCTTAGAAATTTTATTTTTGAAAAAGAAGTGCCAATTTATAAATAAATTAAGACATATGATCTGTGGAAAGAAACCCAACTACACCAATACCAATTTTTTTATATCAATTAATGTATTTGTGCATGTTACAAATTTGTATATTCATTTGCATGCTCTGAAGCAGTACAGGTTTCAGTAATAAAGCAATTATTTTCTAAAGGAGATGTATTTATTTTAGTACGTATAGTTTTGTGTACAAAAAGGAACCTTTAAATTCTTATAGGCTCAATCTTATAATGAATTTAAATATTACCTTGACAAAATTCATATGCTACTGCTATTTAAGCACTATATATTATGTTTATTTTTCTTATTTTAGTATAAACTTAATTCCTATGGATTTCATCCATATTACATGGCTCTGGAAGATGAAGGCTATGCTCATGGAGTTCTCTTACTTAACAGCAATGGAATGGGTAAAACAATCATTTGTTGAATTTCTTACATTTTATGTGATTCTCCAATAATCTAATTAACATATATATATATATATATA